TCATCTTTTAAATATATTTTTATATTGAGTTTTTATATATATTACAAATATAGAAAAATTGATGTTTGATGTATATATTATATAAATATAACTTAACCTGATTGTATTAATTTAAAATATTTATATAAGTATTTATTTTATGTATTAACATTTTTATTTGTATAATTTTAATAATATTCTTTTTTTTTTTTTTTTAAAATTAAGTTTTATTTTTTTCAAAAAGAAAGTATGTTAAAAAAAAAAGAAGTAACCTTTTTTAAATTGGATAATATTATAAATACACAAAACGATATGAATAATATGGAAGAAAAAAAGAGAAAAATAAATGAAACAGAAAAAAAAAATATAGAAGAAGTAAGTATAAATAATGTTACATTAAAAAATTTTAATAATATTCATAATTCATACTCTCAAATAACAGAAATGAAAAATAAACATGGAATATTACCACTAACTATGAGTGATTTAAAAATAAATATTGGTGATGATAAAAACTTAAAAGTAGAAGAATTTATGACTAATTTTATTAGTAATGTTTTTGAAAGTAAAAATGCTTTATATTTATATTGTAAATATGTATTATTATTTTATGGAAAAGATTTAATAGATGAAAAAAATATTGATTCTTTAAATTTTGAAATAATAAAGGGAGGAATAACAAATATATTAGTTAAAGTGGAAGATAATTTACAAAAAAAAAAATATTTAATACGATTATATGGTCCTAAAACTAGTGAGATAATTAATAGAGAAAGAGAAAAAAAAATTTCCAGTATATTATGTGAAGTAAATATATCTAAAAAAATTTATGTATTTTTTCCAAATGGGAGAATTGAAGAATTTATGGATGGTTATGCTTTATCAAAAGAAGATATAAAAGATAAAGAATTTCAAAAAGAAATTGCAAAAAAACTAAGATTATTACATGATATTTCTTTAAATGATTCTTTATTTAAACAATTACAAAATTTACAAAATATTGAAAGTAATGAATCTTCCTTTTTGTGGCATACCATTTGGAAGTATTTTAATTTGTTAAACGAAGAAAGAAAAAGTAATTATACATTTAGTTCAAAGAAAAATATTTTAAATTTAATTGATTTTAATATGTTAAAATTAACAATAAAAGAAGTTGAAAAATTATGTTCTCAAAAAAAATCACCAATAGTTTTATGCCATTGTGATCTTTTATCTTCTAATATTATTAATGGAATTGATGGTTCTATTTCTTTTATTGATTTTGAATATTCTTGTCCAATGGAAAGAGCTTTTGATATAGCTAATCATTTTAATGAATATGCTGGGTTCAATTGTGAATGGAATTTAATACCTTCTAGAAATGAAGAATATCATTTTATTAAACATTATTTAAAAACAGATGATGAAAATTTAATATATAAATTAATTGATGAAATTCAACCATTTTATTTATCTTCTCATATAATATGGGGATTATGGGCACTTTTGCAAGCTATGCATTCAACAATTGATTTCGATTTTATAAATTATGCTATCCATAGACTATCAGCTGCATATTCGCCAATATTTAGATGTAAAATTGATACTAATATATAATTCACACTAATAAAAAAAAAAAAAAAAAAAAAAATGGGTATGCAATGTGTCATTTATATATATCCTTCATTATATGTTTTCTTTTTTAACATATTTTTTTCTCTTTTATATACTTTTTTTTTTTTTTTTTATATAATGTTTGTAGTTGAAATTATATAAATTTATAATGTATAGCAACATTTCATACTATATTATTCTTTATATAATTTTCAACATAATTAATATTATAAATTATTTTGAAAAACTCTTATAATTTATTTATATACATATATATATATATATGGAAACTAATTATCTCATATACAAAAATTAAAAATTTTAAATATATAAAGAAAACAAAAAAAAAAAATAATATAATTATTATCATTCTGAATTATATAAAATAATTTACAAATGGAACATATATATATATGCCATTGTCACTTTTTAAAAAAAAAAAAAAATTTGAAAAATAATTTAAAAAAAGACATAATTAAAATTAACCATTATAGAAGTAAAAACTTATGAACAAAATAATCAGAAATTAAAAAAAAATATATATATACATATATATATATATATATATATATATATATATATATATATATATACATTTATTACTGTATAAATTAATTTTTTTCTTTTACTTGTTTGTATTTTTATTACTTTATCATTTTCTTATAATTTTTTTTTTTTTTTTTTTTTTAATTATAACATTTTTATAATTTAATAAGAAAAAGAATAATTAATTTTGTGATATTTATCATTTTAAAAAAAATATATTTTAATATAGAATATAAAGAGAAGACTATATGACTGAAAAAAAAAAAAAAAAAAAAAATTNATAAATTAATTTTTTTCTTTTACTTGTTTGTATTTTTATTACTTTATCATTTTCTTATAATTTTTTTTTTTTTTTTTTTTTTAATTATAACATTTTTATAATTTAATAAGAAAAAGAATAATTAATTTTGTGATATTTATCATTTTAAAAAAAATATATTTTAATATAGAATATAAAGAGAAGACTATATGACTGAAAAAAAAAAAAAAAAAAAAAATTGAAAACAAATATTCATAAATTTTAATAAAGAAAAGTACTATATAAATTATTTTTATTAAAAAAAAAAAAAAAAAAAAGGATATGCAATGTAATATATTTTTGAGACATTTATTAAAAATATGTTATTTTAGTAAAGGAAGTTACACATTTTACAAAAATAACATTTAAATTATTCTTATTACCATTTTTATGTTTTCTTTAAAATACAGAAGGATTTCCATTTCTTTTATTTTAGATAAATATTTCCTTGATTTTTATTATCTCTTTGACAAAAAGAAAAAAAAAATTTCATAAAAAAGTCGAAATATTGAACATTAGTCTCTAGCTCTTTTTACATCTATTATAGTAAAATATAATACTTAAAATTGTAATACTTTTTAACATACAAAATCGAAAGGAAATTATATATTAAATAATAAAACAATAAAGATACTTTCCTTTATTAATTGGTATTTATTAAAAAGATAGAGAAATTTATAATTTATAATAATTTAATATAATCGCAAAATTCTTTCACTCTTATGAAATATCACATTTCATTTACTTTTTTTTTTTAATCTTTAGTTATACAACTAAAAATTCAAAATTTAATGTTCTTTTAGATATTAGTAATATTTTACATTCTTTTATTTTTCCTTATAAAACATTTTTCAAAAATTCAAAAATTATATGTTTATATATAAATTTATAGAAATCTATATATGAATGAATACATGTATATCACACATTTTATTGGAAATGTTTTTTTTTAATATATTTATATATAATTTTTTTTTTTTACTTTCCTTATTTTTTAGCTAAGTTACATTAATTATATTTTATATGCATATTTTTTTCATAGAAGCAAAAATGATTAAAAGTATATTAAATTTAAACAACTATTATATCTATATATCTATATATATATATATATGTATATATTATTAAAATAAAGAAAATAAAAATATATTATAAATAATTTCTTTCTCTTTTTAATAAATGATAAAATTATAATAAAATGTAAAATTAATAATGAATTTTGGAAATTTTTCTAAATTGTATATTAGAATTCAAATTAAATTTTTTACTCTTCTTTGTTCTTAATGATATGCTATAGAAGAGAAAAAAAAAAAAAAAAAAAAAAAAATAATTAATAGTGTATTTTTCTTTATACTCTTATAATTTTTTTAATTTTTTTTATAAAGAATATCCAATGAAAAGGTTACATTGGAAATAAAAGTTTGGTGCCAATATTTAGAAAACTTACAGTACAAATTATTTTTTTTCATATATATTTATTTTCAGTATTTCTGTTTTTTTATTGTTTACAATTTTTTTTTTTTTATTAATATTCAAAAAAAAAAGAAAAAAATTAAATTTGTTGGCTATATATGCCATTTCACATAAATAGTTATTAAAAAAATGTAAAAGGTATATTCATATAGATAAATATTATTTTTTTTATCAAAATATAGTTACTTTTGTAACTTTTAAAAAGAAACATAATAAATTGTAATATATTTTTTCATTAATAAAAGTAATTAACAAAGAAAAAAACAATAAAAATGAAATGTAAAAAAAAAAAAAATTTATATAAATGAAATAATATATAGTCAGAAATGACATAATAATATAAATTAAAAAAAAAAAAAAAATTACCTACTACAATGTATTAAAATATTACATATATATATATATATAATAAAATATATAATATTATAATAAAAATTTGTTTTCTTCATAATAATTATTAAAATCATAGTTATTAATGCTAATAGAAGAATACTTTTTTATTAATATTAATAATATAATAAATATTTTTTTCCTATCTATTAAGATTTAGTCTATTATTAAAGGTAACTTCTTTTCGTTAAATTTTTCATTAATGTCTGCTTTTTTCTTTTCCTTTTTTAGTTGATTTTCCTTAAGATAAGCTTCATAATATTCTTTTAATTCTGAATTCGATAGTTCATCATATTTTTGATAATTTTCATATTGGTTTTGGTAAGGAGTAATTTGAGATGGAGCAAAAATATTTTCTTTTAATATATCACATATATTTATATTTTCACTTTTTTTCTTATTTTCTTCTGCATCATTTTCTATATCTTTAAGTATTTTTTGATTTCTTTTTTTAACTTCTTCAAAATAACTATCTTCAACAATATTATATCTTTTCATATAATTCGATAAAAATACTAAAGGATCTCTTTTCTTCCAAGAACTTTTTTCTTCCGATTTTCTAAGTTCATCTGGATCAGCTAGAGAATGTCCTTTTTGTCGATAAGTAATTGCTTCAATTAAAACTGGTCCACATTTTCTTTTTCTAATTTGATCTATTTTTTTTTTTGTTAATTTATAAATGGTTAAAACATCATTACCATCTAATTTATAACTATCTATATTAAATGCTTTCCCTTTAGAATAATTATTCATAAGATCATTTATTGAACTCCTTGAACTCTCCATTCCGATAGCCCAATTATTATTTTCTATAACAAAAATGATTGGCAAATTAAATGTAGATGCTAAATTTAATGATTCGAAAAATTGGCCAATATTTGTCGTTCCATCTCCTAAAAAGCATACAACTACATCTATATCATTTTCTTTTGTACCTTGAAAATTATTATTTTCTTCTTTAGTAGCATTTTTTATCTCTTCTAATATATTTTTAGATGAAGAAAAATCTTTTTTGTATAAAATGCTATAAGCTAAACCAACAGCAATCGGAATCTGTTCACCTATAAATCCAAAACCTCCAATAAAATTTTCTTTTTTACTAAATATATGCATAGATCCTCCTTTTCCTTTATTTGTACTACCATAATAATTTCCATATAATTCATTTAAAATTTTATTTGGAGAAACATTCTTACTAATCGCATGAACATGATCTCTATAAGTACTAGTAACATAATCACTATTTCTTAAATTCTTTATAATTCCTGAACTGATAGCTTCCTGGCCATTATATAAATGAACAAACCCGTTTACTTTTTTATTATAATACAATTTTGCCACTAAATTTTCAAACAACCTTCCTAAATGCATATCTTCATATAGAACACACATTTCTTCTTTACTTACATTAATATCAGAAACATATTCTTCTAATTTATTCTCTTCTAAATATATATTAAAATCAAAATAATTTTTTAAATCTTCTATATATGATTTTTTATTTTTTTCTAATTCTATCTTATTATTAAGTTTATCAGAATTTTCCTTTATTCCAATTTTTTTATTTTCTGAATTTCTCAAAATAGAAGTTTGCTTATTATCTATTAACTTTACATTTTCTTTTACATCCGTTGAATTTATTTTCCTTTTTAATATTTCTCTTAAAGGATAATTATTTGAAGAACTGTTTAAAAATAAATTAATATTTTTCTTTCCTACATGTAAAATTACACTATTAGAAAATCCACAAATTATGAAAAATAATATATACACTATCATTATTTCTTAAATCATGAATACATAGATATATATGTCAATTATATGAAACCTACAAAAAATTAATATTTCTAAATATTTTTTTTTTCCCCTTTTAATTTTTCAATTTATATATCCTTATATGTGCATAAATGTTCAATTAAAACAAATCTATACATGATAATAATAAAATGTACATGAAATTATTTATATTATTTTAGAAATTATCAAACTATATTAAAAAGAAATCTTTAACAAAATATAAATATTAAAAAAAAAAAAAACAACTAATAATTTATGGTTTTACATGGAAAATACGATATGAAAAAAAAAAAAAAAAAAAAGAAAAAGAAAAGAAAAAAACAAAAAACAAAATAGATAAAATATAAAAGATAAATTAAACTAAAAAAAAAAAGATTAATCAAAAGGAATTTTAATCAATAAAAATAAATAGAAAAATTATATATTTAGTAATAATAAAAAAAAAAAAAATATATATCTTAATTTATTATTTAGCTTTACAAAAAGGCAACTGTAGTATAAAAGTTACAAAAAAAAAAAAAAAAATTAAAAAAAGAAAATAATACATATACATATATATATATATATATATATATATATATATTAATGGAATATTTCACTATTTATAAATATATGTTTTAAAAACATTATATATTATAATTTTCTTTCAACTGAGAGGTGAAAATAAATTTAACCTATTAAATATTTAAAAAATTTTTTTTTTTTTTTTTTTTTAAATCTTTTTAATGTAATATATTAGTGTATAAATGTATTTAATAATTTAATAATTTTAAAAAATATTTATTTTTTATTATGGTTTTTTTTTTTTTTTTTTTCTCATTTTCAAAATGATAAAAAGAAAACATGAGAAATTTTTATTTGAACAAATGATTAAAGTATTAGTAAGAATAAAATATATATATTTATAAAGTTATAAATATTAAGTTTGATTAAATTTATAATTTCAAAATAAGTGATTTAATATATATATATATATATGTATATATATATATATTAGCACTTTATTAAAAAAAAAAAAATGTATTAGAATATAATAGGAGGAAAATAATTAAGAGTATTAATAAAAAAATAAAAAAAAAAAAGAAAAAATTAAAAATGGAACAATCGATGCCGTTGTGGTTAAGTAGTTTTGAAGAAGAAATTGATACATATATCTTTATCTCATCAAGAGATAATAAATTATATTTAGGTTAGAAAGAAAAATTAAAATAGAAAATAGAAAATGAAATAATTATTTAAATATATTAAAAATTTTGTGAATATTTTTAAGGTATCTTAAGGACTTATGATCAACATGGTAACATATTCTTAACTCATTGTGTTGAAAAAATTATTGTAGCTGAAAAGAATTGTTTTTCTGATGTTTATGTTGGTAATAACAAATATATATATTTGTATTTAAAAAATGTTTTATATAACTGTTTTTTTATAATGTTAATTTTATTTTATTTTTTTTTTTTTTTATATATATTCAAGGAATTTTTTTATAATAATTTTTGTATATATATATATATATATATATTTATTTATATTTTTTTTTTTTTTTATACAGGAAATTTAATAATTAGAGGGGATAATATTGCTTATTTTGGATCTGTTGATGAAGAAAAATACTCTAAGATATTTGATTATTCTCAAAAAAATACAAAAGAAAATTATTTAGATAATGAAGGAATAAATATACCAAATGAAAAAAACAATTCCAGTGAAAATATGATTCTTCAATATAAACCAGTTAATTATATTTTAAAATTTATATCAGAAAATAACAATGACTCTTCTATATTTGAAAATTAATAAAAAAAAAAAAAAAAAAAAAAAGAAAACAAAAAATTATATTTATATATATATATAAGG